CGACAGATCCATATGAGAAGCAAGATGTCAAAACCTGCACAACTGGTAGGTAATCCTTTCCCCCCTTAGTCAGAGAACCCTCGCTTTTTGGCCACCCAAATTGACCACAACCAATAGCAAACTATAGCTTCTAAGGGTGTATTTGATATCAGGGAGAACGGATTACTAGGGTTTGGCACCTACGTCATGTGTGTACACAATCGTTATGTACCTGGAAGAACCATCATCCAAACATGGTTCTGGTCATTTCTGGTCATTATTTTTTTTAACAATCCGCAACGTGCAGTTTTTGTTGGACCAAATACCTGCGTCTAGCCATAATGTCTGCAAACACATAAAAGAAAAAAAACTAAACAAGCATGGCAGGGCTTACCCAGAGCAAAACTGCAGGTGTGCAACCTTTTGCTGAGAAAAAACACAAGAAATGTAGCAACGCTATGGTCAAGGTCATGTGCCTGCAGGATTTTGCGACGCAACGACGGGCTGGTGTGCAACTTGTCTCTTTGTCAAGCCAGTAATCACCATTTTTAATAGGTAAATCATCTATGAACCCATAGCTAAATCATCTTTTAATAGGCAAATCACCATTTTTAATGGGTAAATCACCAATTTTAATAGGTAAATCATCATTTTTGACCCCATAACGATCTTGACATTTTGAATTTGGAAGGCCAGCCGATCACATGTTTGGCTGGCGGTCCCGGAGAAACCATGTTTTTTTCAACGGGGAATTACAGATATTAATGTCAAGCCCGGAGAAATTAAAGCATGGTTTATGAAAGTTTATGAAAGTTAGGTGGGTATGACTCTCCAATAGTCATTTCATCTACTTTTTTTGGTACCCTCCCAATTCAACAGCCGTAAACGGGGTTTATTCATCCAGGCTTGACATTATTTGGGACCATAGAATCCCCTTGATCAGCCCTGAATCAATGCTTGGATTTGTTTGGCGGTCTTTCCCGGTGATTTTGAAAGCAGCTTAGCCCATTTATATAGCCCATTTGGGGGACTGAATAGATGAATTGAAACATATATATAGAAGCTCAAGATTTCCAATATGACTAGAAGCTTGGTGGCATTTCTTTCAAACTAATGGAAACTATAGTTTTTCATCTATATGGGATCAATATGGGAAACATATATCAAACTAATGGCATATATTTCCAATATATCACTGGGCCATTTATTTCAAACTAGAGTTTTGCATCCTTGCTTTGTTGATGGATCCACTGGCTGTGTCCACTGGGATGTCGGTTTCCAAGATGCGCAGCATGGCTCCATGTGAGGGAATGTAAACCCCCGAACCAATAAACATTAGGTAAACCATATGGACATGACAATATCAACCATCATGGAATATAAACCCATATAAACAGAATGTAAACCTACGTAAAACTAATTGAGTATAAACCCATATAAAAAACCCTCTGTTTGCTCGGGGGACCAACTTCGACAGTAATTTATCACACACAATTTTAGGGGTAGATTCCTTCATGAACGGAGTTTCTAACCCGGGGTTGACATTAAACCCAAAAATGAAACCCCATTTTTTTGGATGTAGTTTCCTGGATTCAAGATTTAAGATTCAAGATTTCCACATTTGTACCGCCCATGGCTGGAGAAATGGGCATTGTTTGTGATATGTGTCAGCTGCTTGGCGGTGCAGTTCCAGCTACAGTAAGTTGGTACAGCCATAATTTTTGGGATGCTATCCCGACTTATGGCTACAATCAGGCATTTACCATCTACTATGCCCCAACCGTGCTTTCAAATGTGCATTTGTTTGCCTGGCAGGCTGAAAGTTGTCCAAGTTTGTTGGGGTCGTGCATCTGAAGGACCTCAAGCTACACAAGTTCAACCTGATTGCCATTCTGAAAGATGTGTACTTGGTTGGGTTACCATTTTGCAGCAGATATTCAGGCAAAGGAACTTCTGGTGCGCTGCACTCTATTCAACCAATTCATAAAGACCTCGGAGCAGGCACAGGTAAAAAGTGCAGAATGCCGCAATTTGGAATCCAGAGGACTGGAAAGGACTGTTTGTCTATTTGTAAGCTCCTCCAGCGTTTGCTGGAGGAGGATATGTTTTGGAACTGGGCAGCTGCTGCAATAGCTATTGTCAAGTCAACTCATGGTGGCCTAAAAGATGGCGTGCAATTTGCATCGTTTTTTTCCTCGGTGTTCGTTCTCGGGTTCCTTCTGGGTATATACCCACGTTAGCTTTCAATAGCATCACAACGCCTTGACATGCGCCAGGCTGGACCACTTTGAAGGGGCTTGGCAGCTTTATGTTTGGCTGCTCGGTTGATCGGCTTCCCAACACTGAGTAGAAGCAAACAGGATATGCTTCCCAGACTTAACAGTTTACCTGAGGAAGCCACGGATAAAAATCAGATGCACACCTAGGGGTGCAGACTTGTGCGGAATAACAAATTATGCGGATGTTGGGGCAGGTGACTCTGAATCCACACTTTGGGTTACACGCCCAGGACCCGGGCATGTTTCAAAATTGTTGCTGCAAACAAAATGCTGGCACACGTTTTTCAGCCTTGAAACCTTCAACAGCATGCATCATACAAGTCCTGTTTTTGCCATGATATTTGTTGTTGTCAAATTCAAGAAGGATGCCCAAAGAACTCGATTGTTCGGATGTCCCTTATCGTTTGTTCATGCTTTATCGATTTGTGTGCGCAATTGCTTCATGTTTGACCGTTGTCTGCAACACAAAGGTGCCCAATCATGTGTTTGTCCGATCGATTCTACTATGACACCATCGCTGTAGGGGACAGTTTTCCCAGAATTGGATTGGAACAATGAAAGAGTGGAAAAATCAGATCAACATTACTTAACTAAAAAACATCCAAACATGTACCATATGTGTTTCTTTCAACATAACTCACCACACCCAGCCCCACCATCTCCGTTCTGCACGGGCGAGGCGCGGGTGCAACGCTGTGCCCCAGGGGTCGCAGGACTCCAGGATTTGCGGGGAGTTGGGTGACTCAGAATATGCTGTTGGGATGTGGGGAATGATCCTGGAAATTAAAACCTGGTCAATCTTATACTTTTTGTATCTTACCCTCTGGTTATGTCAAAATAGCCAGTGAAAATTGTCATTTATAATTGATGTACCTATTAAAAATGGTGATTTTCCATAGTTATGTTAGTTATTTAGCATTGATTTACCTATTGAGAATGGTTTTCCATAGCCGTGTTAGTTTTTTCACGCACCCCAGGCAAAAAAAATCTGGTGGAACGTATTGGATCGATTCAGCATATTGAGGGGACCATAGTGGGGGTAGTTCAACATATGGGTTAGTATTTTTTCCGTGGTCCTAGATATGTATTGGTGGAAGGTGGCGCTCTTGCGAAGCATACCCCCGAAGCACACCCCGAAGCATAGCCCCGAAGCATACCCCGAAGCAAACCCCCAAAATGAAGATCATTTTTGAGGGCTTGTTGATGGTTGTTGTTTGGAGATCATGGGTCGCGACACTTGCTTCATGCTGCCTTTAGGCGACCTTTGCGCCATCCCGCCCTCCATCCCCGCAGTCTGGCTGCCCTATGCAGCCAAGTAGGTTGAAGACAGCTTCGGTGCTGACGGGCTGCTGTAGCTTCATTGTGGCAGCCGATACCGTTTGCATCGACCAGCTTCTGGTGCTGACTGGCCGTTGTACCTCCTGTCTAGATCTGATACGTGTGCTGAATAGTGCTCCGCGAATCATACCCGAATCATACCCGAATCACACCCGTTTCATACCTCAAACCTTCAACTTCCAGACCCTGGCACATTTTGAACGCGTGAGTAAGATACTTCACATCTCTGCATAACCCTGAAAATAAGACATCCTTGCCCATACCGCCATGGCACCGGCTTGAACCAACCACCTGCTGTCAGGAACAAACGTGCTTCCTACAACCAGCTATGCCTTGAACCAACTATACCTGCTGTCAGAACGAGCCTCGGGCTTCACCTGTACTTGGGAAAGCCAGACTCTGGCCCTTGGCGGTTGATTTAGACCAGAAAACCATACGTGTCTATATTATACAAATACATGTGTAAGGACATACACAGAGATATATAAAAGGTTGGAAAGTTTGTTGGAAGCCTCTTAGATATGAAGTAAGTTCCATGTGATGAAGTTCATGCGAAGCAGACCCCGAAGCATACCCCCGAAGCAAACCCCGAAGCATACCTCCGAAGCATACCCCCTAGACAAACCTTCCAGTAGGGATACGGTATTTCCATACGAAACCATATTGAGGAGATGGGATTGGCAGTTCGCAAATGAATTTTAATGATTTGATCACTTGTGATTGGAAAATTTTGGGTTGATGGATTCTGATGGTTAGTAAGGTGATTGAATGATGGTGGAAAAATTGGATCAATTATTTGTGTGGTATTCGTATATACTGGGTTCCTATTGGGATGATGTTGGAAGTGACAACTCATGGATTTTGATAGTTAATTGAGAAAATAAACCGACCTGTCAAATCCAGGTTACCAAGGGGTAGAACCGTTCGACTACACCGTTTTCACCCAATTTTGTTCACCCTTTCGTCCAGTTGTACTGTGTACTTGTTGTGTCGGACCGTTTGAGTGGTTGCATCCAGCTTTGGGTTTAGTGCCCAGGTAGAAACAAGTCATTGCCTTCCCATCAACCATCGCAACACTGGAAACAAACATCATTTGGCGAGACCAACATACGGCTGGTAAAGGAAACAAACTTGATGAGTGGGTTTCTGAATGGTTTGCACAATTCATCCGTCGTTGGTTTCTCCAATTCCTTATGTCAGCAGGAATTTGTGCGCACCGTCATGCACCGTCACACTTGCATCCCACTGGGTTTTCATGGGGAAATATTGGGACAAACCAAAGTTGCAAATGTTACAACTGAGAAACCCAATTTGGTTTTTCGGTTAGAAACATGTTTTTTGGTCCTTCGAAAATTACACCCAGTTGCTGTTGACATCCCGGATCCCTTGTCACGTTTCGGCGCCATGGCGCACTTCCGCCGGATCAGCTGGACCATACTGGGACTGCTTCTGGCGAGGCGGACGTCCCGGACACGGGACCCACAACATGTTACTCCTCGGTGATTTAACATAGCTATGGACAATGGGCCATTGATACATGATTTTTGATGATGTATGATTATTGATGATGATTTATGATGATTTATGTCTGATTTGTGATGATTCATGATGATGTGTGATGATTTGTGATGATTCATGATGATTATGATGTCTGGTTTGTGATGGTTCATGATGATTTGTGATGATTCATGATGATTATGATGTCTGGTTTGTGATGATTCATGGTGATTTGTGATGATTCATGATGATTTATGATGATGTATGTCTGATTTATGTCGCTACGTTAAATAACCCAAGGGTAACATTCGATGAACCAACCCCCAGTGTATTTAAATTCTGGGTGACCAACATGGTGAAAATCCAACGGCACCCTCGGCGTGAACCTGGTTGTTCAGCCCGGGGATCCCCAATAGCTGGGTGCTTTTATAAGGGAAAATCCTAGAAATGGGTGATTTAGGGCTACCCCCATCTTAGGAAACCCCCCCAAAAAAAAATGATGAGAGAAGTCCGCCGGACTTTGCATACATACCGCTGTGTGGAAAGTCCAGACCCACATCACTCATAGGTTTTGTTTGAAGTGCCTCCCATTTAGGTATGGCTCACGATGCTTGGCTTTTGGTCCTCGGAACTCCGATTTTTCATCGGCAAAATGTGTGGGTTCATTGACACGCTGAGTTCGAGAGCCCCTTTTTTTTGGGGGTACATGGATACTCCAATACATTTCAATACATCCCACTCATAAATTATAAGGGAGATCAACTCAGTCATTGACCTGTTGTTATGCTGTCCTTTCCACTGCTTAGTTGATAAACGCAAGGGGCAACCTTCCTTTGAAAAACCCACAGGTGAATGATGGTAAACCTTAGAATGAAAACCGGCACAGCTGCTGTTTTCATCAAATGACATCGTGGGGTTTGTTACATCATGTTTGCAGGACATGAGTCAAGTCAATGGGTTCAAATACTGTATATATATATATGTACATGTGTTTTGCCATGATCTTCCAATACCAAAGTATAATCCAAGCATAGCAAAACACTATTTCATGCTATATTTTCACGTTGAATTTTCATATGTCCAAATATAACATTGCTTTGATTTGTTAGAACCCACCATGTTTACAAATGAGATGATCTTGTCTTAATACGCGGCAATATTTCTCAAGACACGACCAATGGCATGCCTTGCAGGTCTGTGAGCCTTCTCTTTGTGGGTGGCAACGACACCTGTCTGAAAGACTGTGAAAGAGACGCGGAATCAATAATGGAATCATAATTTACCTAGATTCCATAAATTATCATAATAATAAACCATACTAATGGAATCTAGGTAAATTAATTCTGACGGTTTTCACTAACTATGACCGAGCCTAGGTAAATCATGGTGAATGTATAGGGCAATCATCCCCAAAAGACCTGAAAAAATCAGGTTAGTGAAATATTCCAGATTTTTACCCAGATAGTTGGCTATAACCATATTACTATTACTATTATAAATGAGCATTACAGATAATTTTTTTTACCCAGATATTTGTTGTCTTTCAATGGATTTCAATGGGATTCCATGGGATTCAAATTGGATCGATTCCAAGGGAAATTTCAGAGCAGAAACTCGCCAGTTGTGTGTTTTTACAGCACCATGGTGTTTTTTTCCTGACTTCTGGAGAAACAAAGAAACTTCAGTTATGGCCCTTTACCAGTTATAAGTACTAACAAAACCCCATTTATAAAATGTATAATCCCATTTATAACCAGTTATAACTAATAAATGACCATAACTGTTGGGACCAAAAAAATATAGCCTTCTAGAGTTTTTAGTCAGATTGATCCACCCCAAAGGAATACGGGTGAGATGATCCACTAAGACGTTTGTCGAAAGCGTTGTTTCCAAATGTTCAACATGATTCTAAGTAGTCGACAGTTATGGATAGTTATGGGAGATCCATAGAGATCCACCATATTTGTCATAGATCATTTCTCGGGTTTTCCCACCTGCGGTCCGATGTTGTGGATGTTGTGCGCTTGTCCACGAGGTCAGTGGCCGACTGCGGCGCACGGCCCCTCAGGCGGTCAGCGAGGATGACATGAAGGCGGAGCCGACGACTCCATGGGACGCGGGTCGGACTCAGTGGTGAATCATTGCGATTATGGCTCCGAAATGCCCGGAATACCAATTAGAAGTCAGCTAGTATTTGGTATTAGAAGTATAGTTAATATATGGATCTAAATATCGATCTAAATATGGTTCTAAATATGGTTAATAAATGGAAGTCACCATATTTAGAACCATATTTTGAAGCGCCCATTTTCCACGGTGTAAAACTGGAGTTACAATCCATTAATGGACCATCAATATATTGTGAAGGTCAAATATCCATTTATGCAACTGCGGATGTGACCCAGTTGCGATCACCTGTGTATCAACTAACCCAGGCGTGTAGTCATTGCCGTGTGAGGTTGCTCTAATTAAATGGTCCTACAATGGAGGGTTTTCCCATTTTAAGACATATCCAACTTGATATATCTACCAGAAACCGTAGGTAACGTACTTAGTTAAACCAACTTTGCTATCATGAATCACAACAATCCCATCCCCGAGTATTAAACACCCCCATTCTATGGTCCCACTTATGAGGAAATGCCCTACTAAACTATGGTTTCTAGGGAGATGTTGAATATTGGGGGTTATATTCACTCAAGTCAATCGAAACTCCATTAGTTGGTACCAACAGCTATACTAATATTTGTCCAAACAATAGAATATTCTAATAGTTCCATGAATTGGTATAAACATATACATACCCTTTATACTAGTTGGTTTCATTTAAACGTATATCAATATTATATTCTATGTAATAGTTCAATGAATGATATTCTAATATTGGAATATTATATTCTAATAGTTGAATAGTATTCTACTATTGGAATAACTTAGTTATTGGGGATATCTCTGTACCATTTTTTTAAACTTCGACTGGATATCTTTGTGGATGAATATTGGGGACATGTGGTGAAATCCAAATCAATTTAGCTATAAGATATGATTTTCATAAAATTCAATAAACTATATATATATATAACATATACAAAAAATAGCAAACAGAATAAATATATATATATACATAACATTTATATCTTACACCATATATATATATACTGGTTGGTGGTTTGGAACATTTCTTATTTTCCATAATATATGGGATAATCCTTCCCATTGACGAAGTCATATTTTTCAAGATGGTTAAAACCACCAACCAGATATAAATGATACAATTTATGATATATTCATATAGAGGTTTCAACTGTTGTAAGCATTTTATTATATATAATTATATATATGTATATGTATGTACAATATTCATTTAAACAAGATGAAGCCCACGAACCCGAATGCTCACACGTATGTTAATGGTACAGATGTCAATACACATGGTTATGCAGTCACGCACAATACCTTTCTGCAATAGTTTATTTGAACAGTCTTGTACATGTTCCCTTGTAACCAGTCTGCATTGTGGAATGTAAAGTGTAGAGTGTGGAGTATGGAGTGTAAAGTGTAGAGTGTGGAGAGTAGAGTGTGGAGTGTGGAGTGTAGAGTGTGGAGTGAGGAGTGTAAAGTGCAAAGTGTGGAGTGTGGAGTGTAAAGTGAGGAGTGTAAAGTGTGGAGTGAGGAGTGTGGAGTGTAAAGTGAGGAGTGTAAAGTGTGGAGTGAGGAGTGTGGAGTTTGTAAATTGTAGAGTGTGGAGTGTGGAGTGTAGAGTGTAGCGTGTGGAGTGTGGAGTGGTGGAGTGGAAATTGTAGAGTGTGGTGTGTAGAGTGTGGAGTGTGGAGTGTGGAGTGTAAAGTGCAGAGTGTGGAGTGTAAAGTGTGGAGTGTAGTGTGGAGTGAGGAGTGCAAAGTGGAAAGCCTGGAGTGTAAAGTGTAAAGTGTGGAGTGTAGAGTGTTTAGTGTAGAGTGTAAAGTGCAGAGTGTGGAGTGTAAAGTGTGGAGTGTAAAGTCTAGAGTGTGGAGTGTGGAGTGCAAAGTGTGGAGTGTAAAGTGTGGAGTGAGGAGTGTAAAGTGTGGAGTGTAAAGTGTGGAGTGTGAAGTGTGGAGTGGAAAGTGTGGAGTGGAAAGTGTGGAGTGTAAAGTGTGGAGTGTGGAGTGAGGAGTGTAAAGTGTGGAGTGAGGAGTGTAAAGTGTGGAGTGTGAAGTGCAAAGTGTGGAGTGAGGAGTGTAAAGTGTGGAGTGTGGAGTGTAGAGTGTAAAGTATGGAGTGTAAAGTGCGGAGTGTGGAGCGTAAAGTGTAGTGTGTGGGGTCTGGAGTGGAAAGTGTAGAGTGTGGTGTGTAGAGTGTGGAGCGTGGAGTGTAAAGTGAGGAATGTAAAGTGTGGAGTGTGGAGTGAGGAGTGTAAAGTATAAAGTGTGGAGTGTGGAGTGTACAGTAAAGTGTGGAGTGTGGAGTGCGGAGTGTGGAGTGGAAATTGTAGAGTGTGGAGTGTAAAGTGGGGAGTGTGGAGTGTAGAGTGTCGAGTGAGGAGTGTAAAGTGTAAAGTGTGGAGTGTGGAGTGTAAAGTGTAGAGTGTGGAGTGTGAAATGTGGAGTGGAAAGTGTAAAGTGTGGTGTGTAGAGTGTGGAGTGCGGAGTGTGAAATGTAAAGCGTGGAGTGTAGTGTAAAGTGTAGAGTGTGGAGTGTGGAGTGTAGAGTGTTTAGTGTAGAGTGTAAAGTGTAGAGTGTGGAGTGTAGAGTGTAAAGCGACGAGTGTAAAGTGTGGAGTGAGGAGTGTAAAGTGTGGAGTGTGGTGTGTAAAGTGTGGAGTGTGGAGTGGAAAGTGTGGAGTGTGAAGTGTGGAGTGTAAAGTAAGGAGTGTGTAGTGTAAAGTGTGGAGTGTGGAGTGTAAAGTGTAGAGTGTGGAGTGTAAAGTGTAGAGTGAGGAGTGTGGAGTGTAAAGTGAGGAATGTAAAGTGTGGAGTGTGGAGTGTAAAGTCTCAGGTGAGGAGTGAGGAGTGTAAAGTGCAAAGTGTAAAGTGTGGAGTGGAAAGTGTAGAGTGTGGAGTCTAAAGTGTAAATTGTGGAGTGTGGAGTGTAAAGTGTAGAGTGTGGAGTGCGGAGCTTCCCCCATAGACACGGCGACGCCACAGGAAAACCAGAGACTCGAGACGAGACATTTCGTGCGAGACTTCCTCCAATTTTGATATTTTCCACACGTTATCAAACAGGTTGGAATGTCACAAAGTGCCACGCCTGCCACGCAAAACGACATGACAACCTGCTTGGAAACATTCGAAAAGGAGATGTTTTCCAGCTTCCCCCATAGACACGGCGACGCCACAGGCAAACCAGCGACTCGAGACAAGACACGTGGATGCAGAAAAACCAGCATTTCATACGAGACTTCCTACAATTTTGACATTTTTGACACATTATCAAACAGGTTGGAATGTCACAAAGTGCCACGCCTGCCACGCAAAACGACATGACAACTTCCTTGGAAACCTTCGAAAAGGAGAGGTTTTGCGGCTTCCCCCATAGACACGGCGAACCCACAGGAAAACCAGAGACTCGAGACGAGACACGTGGGAGCACCAAAACGATCATTTCGTACCAGACTTCCGGCGATTTTCACAGTTGGCAACATGACAAAAGGACAAGTTTTGCAGCTTCCCCCATAGACACGGCGACGCCACGGGAAAACCAGAGACGCGAGACGAGACAGGTGGGAGCACCAAAACGAGCATTTCGTGCGAGACGTCCTCCAATTTTCACATTTTGTAGCTGCAAAATCGACATTTTCCTACGAGTTTTCCTTAGAACCTGAAAATTTGCAACCTCAAAATCGATGTTTCGTGCGAGGCTTCCGTCAATTTTCAGCACATCACACAAAATGCCACGACTGCCACGGAATTTGCACCTTGTCACCACTTGACGCAGCCCTGCCAATGCGATTTGCAAAAAACACGCAACAGGACACGTCTAAAGTGCTGCGCCTGCCACGAAAAATGACGATAGACACGTCCAAAGTGCTGCGCTTGCCACGAAAACTGCAACACATCCTCTGACAACGTCACAAAAGTATTGCGCCTGCCACGCAAAACGACTTTCGACACGTTCCAGAACACGTCTGAATGACACGAAGTGCCACGCCTGCCACGCGAAACGAAGCAACGACACGTCTGCAAACCCCAAAAAGGACCACCTCTGCAGAACTTCCCATAGGCACGGCCATACGGGGATCGCGCGAACGGTTGCGGACGGTTGCGGACGGTTGCGGACGGTTGCGAACGGTTGCGAAGGGTTGCGGACGCGGAAGCAACGTCGAGCGAACACACCCTCAACCCCCAGACCCCCAGAGTGAAACGGGAACCCTTGCGTAGCTGCTACGCATTCGGGAAAAATAGCCAACTGATTCTGTTCGTTCTTGGCGGTCCCGCGCCAGGTCCTCCGTGATCGCATTGACGAGCTGAAGAAACATCCGCTGCTGCCCATCATCATGGTGGACTCCATGTCGCATGGCAACGTGGTGGACGTGTAACGTGGTGGACGTGGTGATCATTGACCTTGGGAGAAGAGTCCGAAAAAATATGGAGAGTTGGTGAAATTCATTGGGATTCATGTATATTATATGATAGTTTTTGTATACATGAATATGTTTCTTAAACTATTTTTGTGTATGTTTCTTAATAGTTCAATGATGTCACGAAATTCGTTGGATAGCTGTGTACCTGGTTGAACATCGAAAATTGGATGTGTTTGATCCTGGAGTACCGCAAAATTCAGTGGTTTATCATACTGCTGGCTCTAAACATGGCAATAGTATGCAAATCCCATTTGCATTCCATCTTCTTTGGTTCATATGCATGAACATGTGCAAATTTGTGTCAAAGTCTTGTGATAGTCTTGTGTCGTGTCAGTCTTGCAGATGATGCAGGACATTGCAGGACCAAGCAACGTCGTACAATGTACAGAACACATTACCCCCTGGTAAACTAACATAGACCCTGAAAATCTCAATTTTTTAATGGAAATGAATCTTCCAACCCCTATCTGCCAGGGTCAAACGGCTAATATACCAGAGGATACCAGCAATCCTTTTGGAGCAATGGCTGGAAATTGGCCTCTGATCATCTATGGCTCTGGAAATGGAGAAGTTTCAATGGGGTAAACGGGACATTTTCCATTGCCATTTTCTGCTGGAGGATAAATGGAAGTGGAATGGATCATCCATTTCATCCATTTCCACCAAGAAAAAAATGCTGGTCGAAGTAATCCAGAGAAGTAGCTGGAGCAGCTACCTCTACAGGTATCTCATACCGAATTCTTCAACTATCAGCCACCAAAAACGCAGTTAAACAATATTATTCCAAATCATTTCTTCTGGACTTCCCGCCATGAATTATATTTGTATGTTGGTGTATATTATATATATACTGGTTGGTGGTTTGGAACATTTTTTTTTTGCCATATACATATTGGGAATTTCATAGTCCCAACTGACTTTCATATTTTTCAGAGGGGTAGGTCAACCATCAACCAGCTATTAGTCATCATTTAAAACATATACACATTATTTTAAAATATAGTTCCATATTATATAAATACACATACATAATCATACATATATATCTATATATATAATTTATATAGTTCTAATGTTAGGATCCCACGATTTCGCACGATTTCATTCCACAGCTGAGCCAATGATGGCTTTGTTCAGCCCATCGATGTGTTTTTATTTCGTACAATGATTCACGAGAAATCAGGTATGATAAGCCCATGGGGCTTAGATTATGGTTGAAATACTTGGTCATATATCATAATGTGACTTAAACCAGGGATAATGAACTGTGTAACCCCCCATGGCCAACTATGAAGGGTGTCCCCCGAAATTTCAAATGCTTCGGCCATGCTAATCTTCACGACTAAGGCTCCCGGGGCAGCGCTTGGTGTTTTCAGCGTCCAATCCGGAGTTGGAGGACCGAAACAGTTCCAGTTTACCCATGGTAAAATTGTGATTTAATGGAATTTAATTGTAATTTAATGGAATTTAAATGGGATTTCATGGAAATTTGTTAGCTAAGATGCTTTATCATCTATGCATACTCCAATAACTGTTGGGTTTATGGTAGACATATAGAGCCAGTTTTCACGGGGGTCAGTTCAACCAAGAGCTACACAAACATTTTGGGGCAGATTGTGAAAAAGGTTAGAAAACCACAGAACACCTGTGAGAGGTGGGTGGTATGGCTGATTAATTCTAACAAATTGCAATGGAATACGGCCCATTTGTAGATGATTTGCCCATCAGACATATCCAAAAATGATGGTTTTCGAGTTTTTGATAGCTATGTTAGTTTACCAGAGGGTAAACCTGGATGTTCAAACACAAACACTTCAGCCACTCCGGAATTATCTCCCTGCACGTGGCTTCGGCCGTGTAGGACTTAGCTGAAGAAGGCCTTGTCGGCGTCATAGGTGAGGGTGACAGGGTTGAGTGGGAAACATAGTTTTTGGCCCGTCGCTCTGACTTCACTCCAAAGATGGGCTTTGTTGTTTATGAATCGACTGGGTCCTGCTTAAAATGAGATGTTTCATGAGGTATCACAGAGGGTGAAATGCTCCAATGCCACCGTTGGTTCTACATCTACATGTTGGTAATCTTTCTGATTCAATACTTAGCATATCTACGATGTCTTCATTTGTTTGATCTAATGTGTTGGCGGGATCGTATCATTCCAGGATCATTCTTGGTTTAGATTCCTGTGGATGTGAGATGGTATGAGTTAATATTGTGTACCTCAACAATTGCAGTCCTTATTTTAGGTACCATATTGGGTGATATTAATATTGGGTATCTTAATATTGGGTACCATAAAAATCATCTAAACGTGTTCAAAATGTATGGTGGGCCAACAGTGAAAGCTTCGGGCCACAGGATGCACTAAAAATCAGCAACGTTTTGCTCTAAGAAACAAAGAGACTCATTGAGTCGTATTCAGCACGTTGGTTCAGAAAAAACCCATGTTTGTTAGTTATACCGTTATACCCCCTGTTCAGTTTGATGGTATCTAAGACTCTTATCATGGTGGTTGCTTAGTTTATATTCCCCCCTTACTGTGAACATGTAGATTAAGACTAGCTGTGCAACAGACCAGACCATTTTGTAGCTCTTAATGATGGCCATCAAATTTATCCAATATTTCATATGTGTTGTATGTTGATTCCAATATCTCCTTTCATGGATCAACACTTTGCTTGAATAATACCGAAGTGTTTGGTGAATGTACCATCGCAAATGAATCATCGGGTATGCACCATCAGTAATTTATCACAATAACATGTTCTTACAATAATAGGGTTTGGTGAATTCACCATCTATAGCAAAGATCATTTATTGGATAATAACATTACAATTTATGATATTCATCATCTCTTGTTAACAAACATTAGAAAATTCACCATCAATTAATTAAGCATCGGGTAATTTAACATAGCTATTGAACATGACCATAGAAATAGTGGATTATCCCATAAAAAACATGGTGATTTTCCTTTTTTTTTTGTGAACGTTTACCAGGCCGGGTAAGCATCCGGTAGTCATCCGTCGAACATCTCCAAATCCCACACCGCTCACACACTGCAGGTCCCCAACGATCTGGCGGTTCCGTAGTGGGTGTCAGTGCCAAGCTGAGCAAGCTGAGTGGAAGTCGAAGCGGTGAATGGGAGCCGGGGCAGGGCCGGGGCGGAGGCGTTTGGAAATCTGCAGTAGATGGGTGGGTTCCACATGGTAAACATATCCTTTATAATAGAAGTCCCATGATTTGCGGTGTTTTATAATTATAATCCCATATAAATCCCACAAAATGATGTGGTTTAATATAGAATCCCAATAGAAATCCACAATAGAAATCCCCAATAGAAATCCTGTAAATCATGGAATTATCATCCCATTATTACAGCTATTCCTGTCCCATAGGAATCCGAAAATAGAAATCCCAGTCGTGGTCCATAGATTTTGATGGCAACCAACAATCAATGGTCATGCAACAGGAACCGAGGTACCTACCGTATACCATCTGGTTATGACTAACACTTTGCCATGGAAAATCACCATGCTATTAATAGGTAAAGCATCTATTTCTATGGGCCATGGCTTCCATGGCTATGTTAGTCATAACCAAAGGGTATATATGTTTGGCCTATATATATATATGTATATATATATATATATGTGTGTTTGCGGTAATATCCCCAGAAAATATGGCCTGAAACACGGTACTAACGTACCTCCCTAAAAGGGATCCTGAAATTACCATTGAAACATCTGTTCAACAACTGTGGTGATACGTATATTCAATAAATGTGGATAGATGTAATATAGATGTATGACCTGGGTATTTGGTTTGTGGTGTGAAATACTTGGGGATTCAGTTCCATGGATTTGAGTGGTAAGGTATGGTTATATGATTCACCACAGTAGGGGAAACTTAAGCGACTCATCAAGATTTACCCTGCGAAAGTATACCCAGCTTCTTCACCCCGATATCACCAGGATAGTTGACACGAATCTCCATGATATCACCATGTTTTTCCGATTCGAGTCCATATGTTTCCGATCCGGATAATCAATCCAAGGGTTCATGATCCCCACAATACCGCATGATTCATGGATATTGGTAGATTAGTCCCTTATACTTATTTTGTCATCATTTTGTCATATTTCCCATAGGATCCATGGTGCTGCTATATATGGTAACATGGATCCCATCAATATACCCCATTTATGTTAGCATATATACCAGCACCATGGATCCTATGGGTTTGGTCATCCCAACTGGTAGATTCATGGTAGATGTCCCATAGAGGGGCCCCGGTCGTTGTAGGAGCTGAAAGCCGAACACGTCTTCAAAGTGGTCAGTGAAGCCCAGCGAGAAGGGACCATCACTCGAGCCAAGGCCGTTCGGTGAAGTTGAAATTGGTGAAAAATGGAGTGGAAAACCTGAAGTGCATTGAACCATTTTTAACCACTTGGAATTTAGGCGCACAAAACTTCAAAAATGGAGTGAACATGGAGTCTGTAAACGGAATTTTAACGAATTTTAATTCTACACCTGAATTCAAAATTGGATAAGTGCAGCATTTCTCGGAAGAATCCACGCTGATATTTGATGTCGATTTGATGCACTGTAGTTCAATGATTTTCCCAGCTGTAGAATAGACCTCCGTTTAGTTCTGGAATTTCCCATCGGCCATGTTGACACGAACTCAGGTGGAATTCCTACACGAGGAAGTCAAAGAGGTTGGGGAAACGATGGGACACAGGTACCGGAAATTCATCCCCAACGGGAGTATGCTGATGGCGTGTAATGTCAACCCTGGACTAATACCCTTTAATTATTTAACATAGCCATGGAAAATGACCCATTTATAGATGATTTACCTATCAAACATGGTGATTTTCCATGGCTATGTTAAATAACCAGATGGTAAATCAGCGTTTATTAATTAGGGGGGTACTCCTCCAATAGTCACAATCTGATACTTATTTATGGTAGCCTCCCAATTAAACAGCCGGGCTAGGGGTGTATGAATCCAGGGCTGACATTAAGTGAAAACTTATCCCCAATGGGAAAAATGTACGGGACAACGGAATTAGATGATGGATGATGGAGGTTTGACCACTGGTAAGCAGCACACAGGGAGACTTTCTCTTAATCAACGACGATATATCTGATTGGTGGTTTGGAACATGAATTTTTTGACTTTCCATATCTTGGGAATGTCATCATCCCAACTGACGTTCATATTTTCAGAGGGGTAGGTCAACCACCAACCAGATGATATTCATCATCTCTTAACACACATTAGAAAATTAACCATCAATTAACCATCAATGAATTAAAACCATCGGGTAATCATCCGCATTTCTCCAAATCTCATTAGTATGATTATGTTTTTTTTTGGATGTCCCGTTGGTTAATCCCACCAAAATCCTCGATCCATTTGAGGAGTTATGCCCTGCGCCAATTCAGACCCAAGATATGGCAAAACACATTTGTTCCATAGGATTTAGGATGAAATCTGTAGATCATCCAGAATCAGAATATCTGGTTGGGTGGTTTGGAACATGAATTTTATGACTTTCCATATATTGGGATGAATAAGGTGAACAACTGACGAAGTCATATTTTTCAGAGGGGTAGGGCTCAACCACCAACCAGAGATATATGACATTTGAACCCATAGGGGAATCGAAATATTCATCCAACGTTCGGGCAGGATTGGACAGTTCCTAGCCTTACTGGTGCTTAGCAGGGAAAGAGGGAATGATCCATAATCACTAGTAATAATCATCCCATTCCCCCCTTGCCATCCATTCCCTGCTAAGCACCAGTTAGTAGCTAATGGGGAGAATTCCCAAGGATGGGCATACTATGGGGATACTGATGGTGGAAACCAGGTGATGAAATGGGGTGCCCTATCTTCACACAAAGCCATGTCGGCCCACGAAATGAACAGAGCCGATCCTAACCTAGGGTTTGTTTGGGGAGTACCCTCTGGTAAACTAACATAACTATGGAAAATCACAATTTATAGTGAATTTTCCCATGAAAAATGGTGATTTTCCATAGTTATGTTAGTTTACCAGAGGGTATTTGATGTTAGTGGGAAAGAATTCCACCACACTACTATCACAACAACCTGCTCGAGATGGCCGGTGAATTCAAATACACATGATTCAATACCCGGTGGGACATGGTTATTCAATCTTCAACATGTTATGGATTCATTTGTTGTTGAAGAATATCTTCTATAGATCAACCATATGTTATGGAAACCAGGTGTTGTTTAAGCTGTTAGTTCTTTCAATGAATTTTGTTTATCCATTAGTTCTTGTTATACTTACTAGTAACAACCAAGATTAATAGCATCAAATAACTATGGTTCTTAGTTGTAATAACCAGTACCCTCCAGTAGATAAACATAGCTATAGAAAATTGGTTTGATGATTTAGCTCCTAAAAATGGTGATTTTCCAGTTCGCTACTGGGTCCAGGTTGTAACATGTGCCGAAAAACAAGATCTTGTGCCAGATGGCGGTGTGCCTTGCGGAAAGGCCCACATGGGCATCACCTAGGACATCCTAGGATTTTAACTTATTGATGCATTTGTTTGGCAATTCGTACAGGCACACATTTGTTTGTTAACCTGGCATATTTCTGTGGCATGGGCAGCGCCTATGACTTTAACTTACTGATGTATTTGTTGGCACTTCGCATAGGCACACGATGCTTACCTGTCATATCTTTGTGGATTTACCCACTATACTCCCAAGGATGAAAGTCGTGGCAATTGTATACTTTTCCTGGATTTAGGGGCAGACAAATTTTAGAAGTCGTTGCGGTCGTGTTCCTACCTACGTCTATCACGGTTCCTACGTCTCAAACAGTCTGTGCCCGCTCAAATTTGTCACCGCCGCCTTGTTTGCCACGCTTGTGTCCCTTTGTCTCCCCTTTGTCTCCCTTACTCGCCCTTTGTCTCCTCTTCTGTCTCCTTCTGCTCCACCGCTGAAAGCTCTTGAGTTTTACTGTTCTGAAAAGAATGCGAAAGCGTGTGGCTACCAAAGAGTTTGTCAGAAGACTTAGGAGGTCAGTCTCCCAAAATTTGATTTCGGACCTCGTTCGTACCTCGTTCGCACCTCGTTCGGACCTCGTTGAAATTGCAGCCAGTCAAAACCCAGCCCGGAGAGGTTTTGGAAAGGCTTTGCAATGGTCTGCTGCTTGGTCTGCTGCTGCTGCTGTTGTTGCTTGTGCTGCTGATTCTCGGCAAGGCGCGGTTTTTGGGCAGAGAACCAAGAGATTTGTGAAGGGGCTGGAAGCTGTGCGGAAGAAAACAAAAGCAAAAGAAGATGCTCGAAAAAGAAAGTCGATCCGATCAGCGGTGTGCCATGGAGAAGTGGATGAAAGGGTTGATTGGCATGAAGTAGAATTTATCATAGAAACATTCAGATCCCATAGAAATGTAACGTCGATCACATCCAAGTTTGTATGTTGGAAATGCCATGAAACTTGGTGTGCCATGCGGAGGATGATAGTTCTGACTGTTCAAACAGGCATATGGTTGTCAACTTGTGGTTAACAAGTGTACATTAAACGCATAGTAAATAGATATATTTGAGTTGTTTGCTTCAGAATTAGTCCACTTTGACCGTCGGTGTGCCAATGGGATTTCCACCTGGCGGAAGATTGTTGATGTCTGGCGTAAGCGGTGTGCCATGCGGCTGGCGCAAGTTCTAGTAAATGGCGTAGGATCACGCCAGAACTCGTACCTGTCAGTTTAACAGAGGGTATGCCCATTATCTACTCATGATATCCCATGAAATCACCATGAAATAATCATGTTTCATAGGTAAACACCAACACCAAAGTGAAATATTGCAATTTACATAGATTGATGGATTATTTGCCACTATTCACCACTATTAACCATTATGAATCACTAGGAAAATCATCATGCCTCATGGTGATAACATTCGGACTGCCGGGCGACACCTAGGAGGATGTCCTGCTGGCCGAAGCTTTGGTACCACTCATCGAAGAATGGACCAACACTTTGGTGGAGAACCAGGCAACCAGAGCGAGAAATCGTCCCTGAAATGGTGACATTGTAGATAAATACCTAGAGTAAATATCTAACCAAAAGTTAGATATGGATAATAGACATAGATGGCCAATGTTGGAAATATATGGATAACTACTTTTTTTTTACTATATATATATATAGTAAATATCTAACCAATTAATCATGAAATATCCACATGGAGGTGTCCTAAGTCATGGGGGTACCCCAAATCATCCAAGTCATGGATGACCATGACCTAGAATTGATGTATTGAAACCCATGGTGACTTGGGGATCCCCCATGACTTAAGAGAGACCCAAATGAGAGCCATTCCCATAGTGAAAATCCCCGAATACTCCAGCTATTGACAAAAAAATCCATATGATTCCCTGCGCACTGATTTTTAATATGATTCCGTACGATTCCCATACTATTCCATATGATTTCCATATGGGACATTCACCAAGCCATGGGGTTACACCCTGGATCCCTGGTGACTTTTATGGTTTAGTTGAATTGGTGACATCTCACAGGGATTTAGGCACCGTTATCGTGCCGATAAACCAAGAATTCGAATGATATGAGTGATATGAGTTATATTTGTTGATTGGGGGACAATAACATAAATCAACAGATATCATTCGAATCATTCCCCCATAATGTTGATTGGGGGATAATCATTCCCCCATTTTCAATATTCATGGATATATTACCTTACATTAATCCAATTTAATCCATGTTCATAGGAATTCTCATGATTGGTAAATGGCTAATATTGATTGATAGCTGGATTCATGGCCCCTGTATGATGGAAATATTTTAAGGATGAAATCATACACAATCACCCAACCGTAGTGGTGGTATCCCACTCAGTCTTCGACAAAGTTTAACTGGGGCTTTCACAACGACAAAATTTAACGTGGTTTTTGGAAGCGACATGTGTTTACTGGGCATTATCAGACCCAATGAGTACTAGTATAAGTATGTACCGGACTCCAGAGTTTCAAACAAATCCCACTCCAAACCCAGAGCGTGAAAAGTGCGTGAAACGACCGTGAGAAACCCGTGAAAAGACAGTGAAAACCCGTGAAAACCAATCAAAAACTTGAGCATGGAAACCACATATTTTTATTCAGAATTTTGAGGATTGATTTACGGATTCGATTAGGCTCAGGGGAAAGGTCATCCTTTTTTGACCTTTAGTATGGCCAAATGGTATATATATATAATTATACATATCAGCAGTTAATGAGTGTCTTTAAGTAAAGTCATGGCTTTACTTGGACGACAACGTTTAACTTTGTTCTTGGAAGTAGTGGGTATACTGGGGTATATAACCAACAATATGATATGTGAGTTTGTCTGAACATGGAGTTGGCTGTTGAGTTTATGGTGATTATAACTACAGTTAGATGATGTTAGATGGGTACGTAAACAACTCATGGAATAAAATGTCAATTGTTGTTGGACAAGAAACAAAGAGAGATTAAGCACATGTTGTTTTCTGTTTACACTATTTTCAGACAAATCCACATGGCTAATATTGAAGGCTACTGTAATATTGATTGATGGCTGTAAAAGGCCAAATATGGTGTTTGTAATGACATTATCTTGGTTTTTTCATGTGCCATGAAACAATGGCCCCCAATATGGAAATGACATGAAATGACGAAGATATTGAAATACTAAATTCACGTGGGTAAAACAATGCCATTTGCACCATCCCCCAGTCATCGCCATTTTTATAGGTGGTATAAACCATTCCCAAATGGGTGGTTTATGACATGGTTTTTCCCACATCCTATGGATTTCAGATCGATGACGTTTTTTCTTGGTTCAGGCACTGGGCGTGATATTTTTTGATCAAGTCGGGACGATCAGAACCGACCCTGCCAGTTTTGGTGTTCGGTTTTGATTCAACGTCATAGCACCCAGTAGCTTTTTAATTTTTTTGGGCCTACTGAATTGCGATTTGTCTTGCTATATTTTGTTTGGAGCAAGGTTTCGATTTTCATGGTTGATTTAGACACCGCAAAGTCGAAAAGTCAGTGGAATCCCTGGCCTTCTGGTGGCGACAATGGGCAGTGGTGTACCTTCAGGCCGAAAGATATGAAGGCCAGTTGCAAGACATACTGAAGGACAGATGCAGCCTGTTCCCAAAGGATTTGAGAGGGACACCTTGTGGCTTTAGGCTGCTTTAGGATGCTTTAGGCTGCGGCATATGCACATGTAGTACTACAAGGTGGTGCCCCCTCCAGTTATAAATTGGCTATAAACCCATTAATTATAGATATATCACCAACAAAAACCATAGTTATTGGAGTTATGTTCACCAACTTAGCTATCGAACGGGGGCACCACCTTGTAGGATATGATCTTTCCAACCCAGCTTTGATTCGGATTCCTTCGAGTGAATCTGCCCTGCCGCAACAAGTACTGCCACGTCGACGTGTTGTTACCTTTTCTACATTCCTAGTTTTCATCTCAAGTCATGTTTTGTTTATATATATATACATAGTAAGTAACCAGCAGATAGAATAAAAAGTTGGTCTTATTAATTAGTATTTGGCTACTATATATATATATTATATCTACCTACCTACCTACCTACCTAGCTATCTGTATGTCTGTCTATCTATCCATCTATCTATCTATCTATACTGTATACAACTTTCTACCGGCGCTTGTTATTTGCATCACATCTATGGCTATCGAGGACTTGGGGCAGATGCCGCCACCCACCATGGCCGACAAGTTGGCGATGTGGGCCGCGGCGCTGGTGAACCCTTTGCCAGCACTAGGTCGCCCTGGCCCTGAAGTCACCAGTTGTAACCGGTTGAAGTCATCAGTTAAGATACCACTTGATGGTTTTTTTAAGGTTGCCACGTTTTAAGGGATATATACATGCATATCGTATGGTATTATATATATATATACATATATATTAGAATATTATGTTATAGATTATGTTGTTTTATTTGATTAGCTAGAGTTAGCCAGTATGTCAAATTTCTAGCTCCAAGTTACCCAAATTCAGAAAATGTACATATACTATGAATCCATCGTACTCCAGACCTGTCTCTTTGGACCCACTGTTTTCCCAACCTGTTTCCCTGTGCGTGACATGTTTCACACCTGTGAATTGACTGGTTGCGATGGGAAGACCTTTCAGCTCAATTTGGAAATTGTTTGGCACCATGTCGATGCCTTGTGTTGTTCCTGAAATGCTATGGAGCCTGGATGAGCTAAAGCGTGTCCTGATAAGTGAGTTTCCCATTTTGGAGACTGAAGAAGGAGAGGGTTTCAACATATTGTTTGACTTGTTTGTTGAGTGGGCTGAAATCCTGTTAAATTACAACAACCAGCATCCGCCCTCTGTTGAATTTAGGGAATTGTGGCCCAGAATCCTTCTCTCAGGGGATTTCCGGCCGCGCATACTCATGTCGCATCGCACTCGAGGGGTGTCATCGCACCCCAGAGGACCCCATCGCACTCCACACACCTACTCACAGATCATCGTACTCCACAAAAGGGATCGTACACCAGAAAAACTTGCGCAGACAGCCAAAAACATTTTTTTTTCGAAAAATTGACCTGAAGATTTTTTTTGCCTCTTCGGAGGTAAAATGCTCTGGAATCTGATCATATGGAATATGGGGGAAATTGTTGTTTTTGGCATGCGGCTGATACGGCGCCCTTGGAAGGGTTGCCAATTTTGAGATGTGCCATTTACGATCCCTTGGAAGGGTTGCAAATTTCAAAAATGAGGCTTGCGGAAATGGGGGTATAGGATTTGATTTTTTTGAGTTTTTAACATGTTGCACATGCTGTCGTATGATCATCAGGGGGGTGGGGGGGTGTATTAACGTTCTTGACGAACACTTCCTTTACGTTACGGAAGATGCACACGTTGCGCATGCTGTCGTATGATCATCAGGGGGGGTTGGGGGTGGGGGGGTGTATTAACGTCCCTGACGAGCACTTCCTTTACGTTACGGAAGATGCAAACGTTGCACATGCTGTCAGTTGTGTCAAAGATTATCCCCACAAAAGGTTCAAGTTGGCCCAAGTCAACCACAAACAAAATATCTTTACTATGACTAAGACTTATCATTTTCGAGGTCGTTTGTGGGATAAATCCTATAGAACCATTGTTGCTGGTACTCAACAAATGGATGGAACATGGAAACACTTTAAAAAATGGCGACCTCCGTCGATGCTCCACAAAAAAGCAAAACGTGCACAAAAAAAGGTACACTTGGGCCTACAGCTGGACATGGCGTCACATTGCTGCCTTGTTGCAGACTGTGGCTTCTGCGTTGCCACAAGCGCTCTGGCACCGCTAGCGTCGAGAAGAGGAAAAAACTGGAAGAGTGAATGTCGCCCTGATATGATTCGGATGATTGAAAATCATAAATTTCTAATGTTTTTTTTTGGACCCTTGAAGAGCAAAATCGAGTCACCGCGCAGGCGAAACGCAAATTTTCACTCTTGAGTCACACGCCTGCCAATCGAAATGAATGTCCATGTTGCAAACAATTTTTGACGACTCCTGCAAATACCAGCATTTTGTCTCTTAGCCTCAAAAATCAGAATTTCAAATTCGTCACCCTTACAAGGGCGCCGAGTCAACCGGTTGCCTTGTTTTTCCAGCGTTTTGAACAGTCGCGCATACAATCGCATTCCATGAAATTTTGATACTTTTGACCTGTGGAGGCTATGGAAATTCTCGATTGTTGTCTTAGTCGTGCGCGATAGAGTGTGATGCCTTGTGGGTATGGGGAATGGAATTTGCAGCCTCGATTTAATTGATCAAAAATGATATTAACATATGCCTGAGAAGCCCACATGCAGGAACGGCAACGCATACGGGGGGGGCATCGTACTCCAGGGGTGGCATCCTACTCAATGTAACTGTATTAAGTGGAAATATGGTACCATTTGGGTTCGAGGAAGAACAGCGTAATCCAGACTTGGCCCCGTTTACAGATGCGGAAGCTGAGCCGCCAGCCAAACGCGTCAAAAAATAAGCTGAACAGCTTATCCAATGGTCTTAAAAGATACTAGAGAGAAGTTGATGATTGATGAGAGAAACAAGACTTTATGATTATGTTTATTCAAGAAATCATTGCTTGAGAAGGTTCTCAGCGGGGTTAAACATGTGCGATTGGACGTGACAGCACGTGACAAGGGAGCGCCTGACAAGGGTCACACAACCTTATTCTCATCATCAAAGGTCGTTCAATATTTTCCAAATTTCCGGAGCTATTTTGGCATGGAATATGAACAGCCTTGGAATATGGGTAAGATTTTGCTAGAGAATTGACCAGTTAGCAAGTGGGATGCGCTTGTCTAAATCCAAAGGAATCAACCCCCCATTTATGTGGCCATCAGATGAGAAACATTAATAAAATTACCCTCTGGTAAACGTTTACATAACTATGGAAATTCACCATGTTTAATGGGTAAATCCACTATTTCTATGGCCATGTTCAATAGCATGGTTAGTTTACCAGAGGGTAATGAATAGCGATGAATCATCAGATTTTTTGAGACAGGAACGGGGATTGCAACTCTGTCCATTTTTTTCGTTGAGTAGCATTACTTGTTACAGCAATAAAATTAGTGTTACCCTCATTACCCTCTGGTAAATAAACATAGACCCTGAAAATCACCAATGTTTAATGGAAACTAGTCTTCCAACCCCTATCTGCCAAGGTCTATGTTTATTTACCAGAGGGTATGAAACCAACATTGGGCCACCAAAGTCGGTTGCTGTGGACTCCTGGATGGTCAAAAAAAAACGAAGTCGCCAGGGATGGTTTAAAACATCTCCGAAGTTTGTTTGGCTGTTTCGAGATTGATTTTTGATTCAGTCCCCATTTTATTTTTGGTGTTTCCATATGTTTGATGAATTCGAAAAAAAGAACTGGGGACTTACTTCTTCAAGCAGAAAAACTGTTGAAAACTGTTGATGACGTAGGTGGTTTATGGTTTGGTAACTCCTCAGTTGGTGTGTTTTTTGCTGAGGATGAAGCCGCTCAGCTGGTGTCCGCCAATCTGCACATATGATGGTTCTACCCAAAATAAAAGGGCCCCAGGCTCCCCCATCAACTACCCGATCATCCCAATAATTTTGAAGAAATATGTTAAACATGACTCATCCTACAGTCATGCCATTCATCCCAATTTGTCGATCTGATACTGGACAGATTAAAACGATTAAAACGACCTCACTGCAATGTCACTAGAAATGATGGTAGTTGGGGTAACTCTCCCAAAAGGACCTTATAATAGCATGGTAAATTATTCATAAACATATGCTGATTTACCAATACTACACGTACTCCACTTTAATATCAGATAGTATCTAAATATTATTCTGATTTACCAAGTGGATGGAACTGATTTACAGTATCTGGTTGTACCAATATCCACTATAATCAGTTCCGTTTATATATTTATCCACTATAATAGACTATCTGATTTACCAATCAGTAGTCACTATTACCAATATCCAATTATAATAAGCTATAATCAGATTATTTAACCACTATCCACTATTGGATTTACCAATGCTAACTGATTGCAGTCAAAGGCCCCCATCCATCTCCAGTGATCAATCCCCAATGATCCTGATCAGTCACATGTCACAACAGGTCACCATCCCTTGACGCGAAACAATTACACATGTCAAGGTAATTATATAGTAATGGGTGGTTTATATACTATAAATAGGTAATTATATACCCAAAATGGTTACTTATTAAGTAGCGAACTGGAAAATGGCCCATAGAAATAGATGATAAACATGATGATTTACCTATCTACCTATTAAAAATATTGCGATGTTCCAGTTCGCTCCGTTAAATAACCAGAGGGTATGTTTAATGTGTCCAAATATTTATTTTCATTATTGAAACAATGAGTATGTGTCAACTATAAGTGTTTTTTTTAATGTTAAATGACTATGTCTATGGCACATTAAAATATGATATTAACATGTATTAACAAAAAAACATATAGTCATTACATACAACTTTTGATAATGAACATACCATGGCAAAAGGTTCTTGACTATAATGACTCATAATGACTGTGACCACGTACCATGAACTATATGGCAGCATTTCCTAAAATGGGGGTACCCCCAAGTCATCCATTTTATTTTCGGATTTTCCATGAAATAAACCATTCAGCTATTGGGGATCCCCCATGACTTTGGAAAGATCCATATGGCTATGTTGGTAAAACAATAATAAACCACCTATTTGGTAATGGTAAACATACCAGCTATAAAAATGGTGATGACTGGGGGATGGTGCGTTTAAGGCATTGCTTTAACCACATGAAATCCATGTTTTGTTGCCCATGTTACCATCAACTCCCGCTGGCGCCTGAGGTGTTGCCCTGGAAATACGCCCAGCGGTATTGCAGGCTGATAGCCTTCAGGCCTGATCTGATCGCAAAGATATGAAGATTTCACAGAAACAACGAAAATACGGTTGTTCAAACATCAAAATATATCAAAAGTATGGATTAAAAACCATCAAACATAGGAATTTGAGTATCAAACATAGTGGTTTTGCCATCAACTATAAATATATATATATGTGATATATATATATATATGTATGATATATATATATATGATATGATATGATATGATATGATATGGTATGATATGATATGATATGATATGTTATGATATGATATGATACATACATATATATATGTCTCGCTCTCTCTCTCTCTAACAATTGCTGTTTGCAGGCTATCCTCCCATTCTAAGACAACCCCAATGCACAAACATCATGACAGCAATTGGATGGTTTGGATGAGTTGGAATAAAATGCGCATCTATCAAACATACTCTATGAATGATGCCCACTTGAAATGATATGCGCCCAAATAAGAACACAAACAATGTGATATATTCTTATGTTCAAGCCACATTAGTTTTTCATGGTTAGATCTCTAGTATTGATGGTAACATGTCAAAACCATTGCAATCCATTTTGTTGATGGATAAATCAATTATATTGTATTATATTGTATTATTATATTATATCACATTATATTTTATTATATATATTGTATTATATTATATACATATATTATGATATGATTAGCCATGTTATTCTTCAGTGCCACATTTTGACCCGAGGAATCCAAGTTTTGCGGAATATACTTGGTAGATTCATCTGAGATGACTTGGTCCTGCAGCCTGTGCTGTGATTACTCTGCTGGCGAGTGGTTCCTCGTGCTTTCCTACATTGCATACTATAGGACGTCTTTGTACCATGGTTGATTGTGAATAGATTGAATAGATATCGGTTTTGAACAAGTGTACTCATATCATCTCATATCTGTAATTCATATTCCCGCTAGATTTTCTGGATGTGGTTCAAATGTGGTTGGTCACCCATGGACGGAAACATGCTGACTAAGATGCTAAAAGATGCCCTTTCGGCAGCATACCTGGGGATGCAGTTTCAGTTAAGTGGGTAGCCACGGAATGATTTGATATGATTTGATTATTCTGGTTGTATCCCAATCCGACTTATGTTGGTTATATTCCTGCTTCTGATTGATCCAGGTGATAACCTTGGTTATACCCATGGAAATGATACCCTCTGGTAGACGTTTACATGACTAATTATGGAAAGATCTACCATTTTTTCAATGGGTAAATCCACTATCAATGGCCATTTTCAATAGCAAACTGTTAGTCATTACCAGAGGGTATCAACTGCACCCCCCCCAAGGAGGCTCATCGAAAGTCAGTCTGTCAGATCGCCAGGAGCGAATCTTGATTGTGCGCCGCGGCATTCGCGGCAGCATCGAACATGTGAGCGGCCGAAAACGCCTCTTCTGATGCGGAAAACAACACAGAAATGGTGAGGTATACAGGATTCCATGGTGACCCGGGACTGTGAGTATTTTATCTGGGAAGACTTGGGAAGAGGAGCTGAAGATTGAAATCGGTTTGGGATTCAACATGGACAGGCTGTTGGTCTATAGGTTGATGCCATGGAGATAACTGGAGGACTTTGATCGTGGATAAATCCAGAAGTCGTGTGTTTTTCCGCTAAACCTCGGGTGAATGAAGCATCAAACTATGGGGTAACTGTAACTGATGAACATATGGGTCATTAATTATTCGTGTGGGGTTTTACCACCCAAGATGTGCGTGTATATACGTGTGTGTGTATATATATATATATATACGTATATATATATATATAAATATACATTGATTGATTGGGGACCATCATAATCCAGTACGGGAAGGCCTATTGGTCCACAAATATAAAGGGAAGAAAAGGGGGTTTTCACACTGCACAGATGGCTGTGTATGAACATGGATAGGAGCATGATGTTTAAGTTGACAATTTAGGGTAGTGTACCTCATGTTCAGGCAAAACCTACCCTCTGGTAAACAAACATAACTGGAAAATCACAATTTTTTATGGGACAACTCACTATAAATGGCCATTTTCAATAGCAAACTGTATGGCTATGTATGGCTTTGGCGAGTGAGACATTCGAGTTTTTCCTGGGGATGAAATGGTGGGATCCACGAAGCGATATGTCTGGGAATAGTAGCAGCTATCTATATTGTCTGGAAAAACCCGCTTAGCGTTTGGCAATTCATAGCCGTAGCTTTCAACTTTTCAGAACATTGACCAACACATCCCTGAGTTTTTTGATGCCACCCCCAAGTTGTTTAGTGATACCTTCAGTTTTTGCATCTATTCCTACGTATCCTTTGTTTCAATACATATTTGGTTGAAGGAAAAACTTTCCCGTTTCACCGCTCTATTTATTGATGAAACACTCGCTTTCCCGTTTTCACTTCTAGAAACCTCCAAATCACTTCAAGAACGTGAACTCATCACTAGTTTCGTAAACGTTTACTTGATCTGATCCAACAAAAGCCGATTCGCTGTTCAAGGCCATGTTGTGGATGAGTGAACTACATCCAGACCATTTGCCAAGGCGAGGAGCGGCGCGAAAGGGAAGCTGGTTTAAGATTAGTGGATCCAGCTTTTAGACTATAAATTACCCTCCAGTAAACTGACGACCCTGGCAGATAGTGGTTGGAAGATGAGTTTCCACTGAACATTTGTCAGATTTCAGGGTCGAACTGTTAATTTACCAGAGGGTAATACTTACCGTAAAATAGGAACTGAAGGTTTTGATCTGCTTGGTTTATCTTGGTTTTGGGGTTGAGCATGGACCCAGATCACGGATATGGATATGGTGGGGATGATACTGCTTCTGCATAGACTCTATAGACTATCTATATATATATATATATCCATAACAGGTTGGCGAACTTATTTTTTGTGATTCATTTACCACCCTGTATATATTCTGCAATACCTACATTTACCAGTATCATGTACTATACTAATTTCCAGATGTATACATTACCCCACCTTAACATGCATGATATATTTACCCAACATGTACAGTCATGGTTAATTTGTTTCGTTATCTATTGATGGTTGCCAGTTTTGTTTTGGTGATGACAACCACTTATGTACAGTACCCAGATCATCCAACAACGATCTATTTAGCGACATTTGCTTAAATGATCCCCCACATGACAGTGGAAATGCCATGCAGTGGAGATTTTGAGTTGCAACCTCAGATCATGGTACGTGCACGGAATTGTCGGATGAACGAGTGGGCTAAAATCAGTGTCAAAAAGTGTCAAAACCTATTTGTAACGGGTTAAATGAGGGTTGCGATTGGACAATCTGAGAGATTCCTTTACACGGGGACTATGGTTGGAAAACCCTCGAAATAATTGTTCAGGCTGATAACCCAAAAAACAAATATCATCCAACTGAGGTTCTTGAAACTGCTCAAATGGTTGAAGAATCCAGGAATCTTCAGGAAACTATTTTTTTGTACCACAAAAAAATATCTGATCAAGACCGGATGATAAACTTGGCGGTTTTGAGAAAACATCCCAATTGGTGGTGTATATATATATATATATGGTATACATACTATACCATACTATACACAGAAATAAATCATACTACCACCAGTTTTGTTGGTGATCTTGTTTTTTTTGGTCGAACCATTGACCGTGACTGTCCATTTGTGATACTTGACCTGTTCAAAGAAGCGGTTCTGAGAAAAGCCCCAATAATATCAAGTACTTTTCGGACACAATCATAAACCGACCATTTAAGGGATGATATTTAATTACCTCCCATTTATGGCAATTATGGGATAATATATGATATATAACATCATAATATTTTGAGATTATATATGATATATTATAATATTGGATAATTTATGATATATGATAATATTATTGGATAATATTAATGTTTATTGTTGGGTGAATCCCACATGGTGTGTTTTCCGATAGCATTGAGGAGTCACCTGGACCTGGACCACACGACCACACCGCCCTGAAAACAGTGCAGCTCTTTGCTCACAGCCATCCACTGAGAAAACTCAGTGCTCGAAATCGCGGGTGAGCCATTCACTGAAAAAAGGCTGGGTGGGTGAATTGATTTCATGATATTTCATGGTCAGATTCTAGCAGGAAGTTCTGAAATGGCTTTCAGAAACACATTCTAGCAGAAGCTAGATTAGCTAGATACAACTGATGATATTTGTTCATTGATCTGTTCTCGAACGAGATCTGTTATGGAGAAAGCAGAACTGATATCTTCATCATTCCGCAACTCGGTGTGGTTTGCCCTCGCTCATCCCAAGTCCAGCCACAAACGACTGGTTTTTTGCACCAAAATGGCTCAAAAATGCGGTGAGACGCAGGACGCAGGCCAGATCATTTTTTTTCGCATTACCCAGGATTATCCAAGTTTTCGAAAAAGCACGTGACGAAACAAGACAAAGGATTGCAAGCCGCGTGGAATTCAGTGGATTTCTCGCAAAAATGAAACATGCTAGCCGCTGTTGCAAGATGCCAGGACGCAACCCATTTCCCATCTTTGGCCATTGCATACCGGCTACCTGGGCAATCCGCTGGCACTGTGGTGGGTAAGGGACAGCATTTGCTGGCTTTTCAAGATAGTGGACAAAAATGAGAAACCAAACTAGATTCCAATTTTTGATATGTTGTTTCTATGAACAGTAGACAGTTATAACCAACGATATGGTCTTAAATATTTTTCCTTCTTAGCATAGCTATGGAACATGGCCCATTCGGACAATTGACCCCATAACAAAGGGTAATTTTCCATAGCTATCTGGCTATCTTAAATTACCAGAATGTATACCTTTATGATGGCTTGTGATTGTTGCGAGCTTTGCTAAATACAACATGCCACTACTTTGGTTGGTTGCGCCGCTGGCTGTAGACTGTAGAATTCGTTCTTACTGAGCTGTGCTGTTCGCGAATCGTTTTGGGTGAACATATTCCCAATTTTGAAACCTGGCAAAGCTATATCTTGTGTAATAAGATATGGTTCTGATAGTATATCCGCCATCGCCTTCCTTGTGCACGTCACATACGCACTTGTCACATTGGAGTAAATGCCACTGATGCAGGCTTACCTACTGGAATCTTTAAATGCCTGTCCGAATGGAGGAATATTTGCTGAAATTGCCCGATGTGTGTTTGATTTGATCCCCATATTTGATTGTTATTTATTTCATTCCATTCCTCTTGCATCATGCACGGTGGCAAAGTTCGACCTGCACAATTGTGCTGATTTACGTATCGCCCTCCGCTTTACACCCACTGCGATGAGGGTCAACAGATGTATGCGGAGCTGCAGATAGAAAAGGTGTTTGGGAGGATGGCTGTCATGTTTCATCATTTTCCCATGAAAAACGCAACTATTTTTTTGGCACACGGTGCTACAACCAACCACCACTTAGCGTCATTGCTTCATACTTGGAGGATCATACCACTGAGTAGCTTTATGTTCACCTCTATAGCTTATTCTAGTGATTTTTAAACTTGAAAAAAAACAAAAAAAGGAAAACAAATGGACAATCAAAAAGCAAAACTTCAAAACTGAAAAAAACGGAAGCAAAACAAATGGGAAAAAACAGGAACGTCAAAAAGGGTGAAAAAAATGGGAAAAATGGACTTGTCCATTTGCATTTGTGTTGTTTTTTTTTCGATTTGTTTTTGTTTTGCTTTTATTTTGTATTTTTTTTGCTTTTTGCCTGGAAAAAACAAATCGAAAAAACAAAAAAAATGCAAATGGACAAGTCCATGTTTTCCAATGTTTTCTCTTTTTGTCTTTTCTTCTTTCCCATTTTTTTCCTTTTATTGTGCCTGTGTTTTTTGTATTTTGCTGATTTGCTTTTTGGTTTTTCCTTTTTTTTGGTTGGTTTTTTTTCGCGTTTTTTTTCAAATTTTAAGAGCAGTTAGAAAAAACTATGGTCTGGCTGACATAAGAGTAGCTGTGTCGTTACAGTAGGCACAACCCAATTATGTAATACATATATGTAATATTTATGTATATATATAATATTAAGATATATAATTATTTATATATAATTTATGGGATGACTACTTTCGATCCCTGGAATGATCCTCCTTCAATACACTCTCCACCTGCCACGCCAGGGCCATCACGGTCTTGTCCCACCTGACCATCTTCCCCCGAGTGGCCCGCAGTGCGGGATCCCGGGATCTCGGCAGGGACCCCACGCGGCAAAGTTGGGGAACGGTAGGCTTCATGATGGATGATGTCTGGTTGGTGCTTTGGAACATGAATGGATTATGATTTTCCATTCAGTTGGGAATGTCATTATCCCGACTGACGAATTCATATTTTTCAGAGGGGTAGGTATCTGGTTGGATATATGTGGATAATGTGGATATATGCCGATAAACCGTGTTTTTTTTATCAACTTTAAGTTTCACCGAAACCATCATGAAAAAAATGATGGTGATGATGTGGAAAGAGATAAACCATCATTTTTATCAACTTTAAGTTTCACCTTTGGCAGAATCACCATAGTCATTTAAGAATGTTACACCATCATTTAAGAATTTTGATGGTGAGGTATCCAGTACTTGCAGAGTTGAATTCCCCACCACTTTATCATCCGCGTGATAACTGCTAGTGTGTGTGTGCAACTGTTGTACTCGCTGCTGAAAGGCAGGGTAGACATCTTTGAAAATCCCACTAAAAACACAGCTTTTGTGTCAAGGTAGACTCATGTGGAATCCACATGTTGATTGTATTTGTGGAGGAAACATAAGTCATACATAAGTCATACATAAGTCATATGTCCTTAATGACAAGCACTCCGCAGATGAGGCCCCAAAAGGAATAGATCCAGTTGTTTCATGGGTTTTTTTGGCGGTTTGTACGACAATGGAGTAGCCCCAAATTTGATGTTAAATCATCATATTTTCCCATTTATCATCATATTCCTATCAAGATCTGACAATTTTGGTAACCTATTAATTATAGTTCATAATCATATGCCTATCAAAACCTATCTTAATAACCATCATATTCCTATCAAACATTCCAACTTTTCAGACAGACCTGATTGATTTCAGCCTAGGTCCGACCTGGCGTGTGACGTTGAGCGTGGCAGCTGTTCTGCTGCTATGGCGCCTCGCTGTTTTTTTTTCCCATGGGATTTGTCATGTTGATTTCTCGTGGTGCCGTTCGTTGGCAAAGTTGGTTGCCAACACAGCTGTTCGGAGTTGATCTTTAGACATGATAGATTTAGTTAGTTCATGGGGGGTTATAGACCAACTCATAACTGGTTCGGGAATCCTGATTAGTAATCCTGATTGTACCACCGATTGTTGCCTGATGGTATAAAGGAAGTGCGGGCTGAATCCTGTCGAAATCCTGTCGTTTTTTTCAGCCGGCGCATGAGGGCATGACCTAATTGTGGAAACCACACACCCACCCATTTAAAGTTTAGTGGATCTTGTTGGTTATGTTTCTTGTGGGTGCAGTTGAGGGTATAACCATGGTTATGAAACCCCATAAGTTGGGAAAGACAATCCTATAACTTTGGATGTATTTTTTTTTTAAAATATATAATAGTCACTTATCAGTGGAACTGCACTTGCGTTCGTGTCTTATTTGGCAATCTATGTTTGAGACCCAGCGGGAAACAGATTTTGATTATTTTTATTCATTGCTCTTGAATAATCGATGTTGGGGGTGCAGTGATCAATTGTGGGAGTACATCATCATTGCATCATTTTCACACGTCAGTCATGATCATCACACAGTTGACCAAAAAAGAAGGGCCTCATTTCGGTAATAACCTCAGCAAAACAGCATGTCTTCAAAGTTGCAAAACTATTTGCAAGTTTGGGACATGGTATTTCTCCATGTTTATGGAGTGATAAACCAACATAAACCAACTGAGTCAACTATGAAGCCCCAGTTGGTTTATAACTCCACAACCATGTCAATGTCACTGGGTTGTGTCAGTGGTTAACTCCCATAACCATGTCAACTGGTTAACGCCCGTTATGTCACCCTGGTGTCTCAGGCGTCAGCTGGGTGTCTCAGGGGCCTTGGCTTCGCGAAGAGCTTTGCAGGCGCAGTTCCAGAATAAGGCTGCGGATGGTTTTCGTGGGGTTTAACTACAAGGTGGTGCCCCCAAGATAGCTAAGTTGGTGAACATAACTCCAATAACTATGGTTTTTGTTGGTGATATATCTATAGTTAATGGGGTTTGTAAATCAATTTATAACTGGAGGGGGCACCACCTTGTAACGGTTTAGCCATCAAAAATGGTGCTTTAATATGATTTAATGATACCAAATATTAAACTCATCCCTTCCTAATATTCAGCACCCTTCAAAAACCACGCTGAAAAACGTAGGGGATTGGAAGCCACGTATTTGGGATGGGATTAACCACGATAAGAAGACTTGGATAGTCCCAACCACCACGCATTACTCATGAGCAATTGGGTAAACCCTTGGATTCTTTAGCAGAACTTAATCTTTTGTAGTGAATGTGGATATATGAAGCTAACCAGCCAAGAAGGAATGATGGCAGGGCATCTCAGACTGGTCATGAAGCATCCGAAATGAGGATTTGGAGGTTTCTCTTAAATTACAATTGCATTTTTTTTACAGGGAATGGTGATTCAACCAAGAATGAAAAAGCTGGTTACCCCCAAGTTGTTCACTTTTTCTGTCACCTGTGGGTTCCACTTCAGGTAGTGAATGGTTGGTATCTCATGACCCCATGAACTAACAAACCAGGGCCGGCTACACGGAGTTAGTAAATGTGTCAAACATTGGGTACCCAGGGTACCCAACAACCCGCAGATTTGGTTATGATTAGGGCTAAATCATTCCTTTTTGGTGTTTGATCATGTTGATCAATATTGTTTGATCAATAAAGCAGCACTAAAGGTGACAAGGTTGACAAATGTTGATAGCATCAGGACCCCTCTCATGCATCACTGGATTTATGTTGAAGAAAACTGAATTGTGTTTAGCCATACACCTTATCCTAGTTTCATCGAGGGTTTTGGAAATTAGTTGGAAGGATTTACCACATATCCCGCTAATCCCAACAAAAAACAATTCCAAATTAAGTCTATTATTGGGTATAAGCATGTATAAGCCTATTTTTTATGACCTTGAATGAGCCCCAAATGGTTGAGAATTGGGATGTTTTTTTGTTGATATTGTTAATTTGCCACATTAAAAACATCCAAAATTTGTACCTTTTTTTTCCGGGGGGGGTTAGCAAGCCGCCAAGAACATCGTAGGTTGGTGGTTGAACATGCACCCACTTGCAGGTGTCCCTACAATTTAGCATTTAGGGGATGTCTGACATCCCCGTTTGATGAAAAAACATAGTGAAACAAAGTGCTTCGCCTGGTAAATCCGGGAGATTCTGTATTTTTTTTTCGGGAAATCTATGGACACCTACAAAGAAAACCTTCGTTTTTGTGGTTCATTTATTCATTTTCATGGGATGATTTGTGCATGAACCGAACTTCACCAGGCCTGTGGCGAGCGTAGCCATCGGCAGGTGCGAACTATTTGAGGGCCCCAGCATCCCAGAACTGTTTGGGAAGTGGGCTGCAAGCAGCAACATTATGCTGTTCAAAGTGGGTGGCTTCATCATGAGCGCTGATTCGCGTTTTTGTTCAGCATTTAGCTCTAAATACACTAGTTTGACCACCATGAACATCTATACAAATCAGGTTTGCAAGAAGATCTATGATATTGCTGATGATGATAATAATAATGATGTTATATGATGTTGATGTTCAGGGCAATTTCAAACAACAAAATGAATAGACACGTTACAATTTTGCCGTAAACTTAGCTATTTCGTTTTTTGGGTTTATATATATATACCCTCTGGTTGTTTAACATAGCCATGGAAAATGGCCCATTTATAGATGGTTTACCTATTAAAAATGGTGATTTTCCATATATTTAAACAACATTTACGCCGCAGCTCAAAATGTAAGGCTCCGATTACCCTACCCTGGACCGGCGATACTCCAAGGGATATGATCATCTAGAACTACCCTTGATCAATACCCCTTATACCAGGTCACTTAGTATACAATGTGAGGCCCCCCAGTTATAAGTTAGTTTATAAGCCCCAGTAACTATAGTTATAAGTACCATAAACCATAGTGAAATTGGAGTTATGTTCACCAACTTAGCTATCGTTTGGGGGCACCACCTTGTACCTTCTCACTAGGTGCGGATCAAACCTCTTATACGTAACTCGCTGGTTCCATGCGTCCGGAACACCCTGGAACGATACCCACATTTTGGCGGAATTCCAACTACGACACTGCGACATCGCTACAAATCCCAGAGTCTACCAAGCTTTAAACCTGGAATGCGACAAAAACCATATGTCAGATTCATGTGTAAAATCACCACATGGATAAAATATGATAAAATATGTAATATCAGAAAATATGAATTAATCACCACATTTGTAATATCAGAAACTTTTCATGGATCAACGGTTCGCAGTGCAGGTTGCTGGAGCTTTAGAACAGCGGTGTCGAGCTGAGAAAGAGCTTTTATACCCAACTCCAAGGTGATGGTTTTTCGGGAATTTGTTTAGAAAAGAAGCAGAAAACATGGACATATTTCAAAAAGGATGGTTTAATAATGTTTAGCAATTGTTTTAATATGTTTTAATTGATAAAAACTAGTAATTGATTAAATTGTTCATATTGAAATGATGGTTTTCAAAAGATTGGTTTAATCATGTTTAATATATACTGGTTGGTGCTTTGGAACATTGGGATTATTTTCCCATATGTTGGGAATTTCATCATCCCAACTGACGAACTCCATCATTTTTCCAGAGGGTTAGGTATACCACCAACCAGATATTCTCTGTACTTCTCTATATCATATCATATCCCATTAATATCATGGTGAGTCATTAACTATATCATATCGCATTCAATATATGCGTTAACACTGAAGCCATTGTTGGTTTTGCTAGAGGATTGACTATTAATAATAATCCCATTCCCCAATTCCCATCCATTCCCTACGATTAGCACCAGTAACTTATACATGCTCATACCCAGTACTACCTCCCATCCAATTGCATACATTGATGAAATATATCCCATAATATTCCCATAATACACCATTATATCCAGATAATATCCAGATAACCAGATATAGTTTAACACTGAAGCAATCTGATCTTCACCCGCAACGGATGCGACCGTTCACCACCTGCACCAAGCGGCCTGGATTTTTTGGACGCCATGATTCACCCCGACATCGATCACCGATGCAAAAACTCAGCGATAAAAAAGAGACGTTGAAGGATCAAAAAGTCCAGTAATTGCGGTAGATATCACCAGTAATTCACTGATATTGCAGTAAATATTTTTGAAAATCACCAGATATACTGGCTAGATATCACCAGTAGTTGCAGTTATATATGTAAATATAGTAAATATATAAAGTATTACAGTAAATATACATGTAAAAAGATACTGATTGTAATTCGGTTTTAATCCGAAACCCACAATAGAGTGGTACATTTGCGCAAATCCAAAATAATGTCATGTGCCACTTCTCCTTATTCCCCAATATGCCCCACTACTGTTGATTTTATCCTATTGTTTTTTGCTACTGCTGTGATACTGTTGTGAAAAAAAACCTCACGATGTTTGTCCTTTTTGGTCATTCGATGGTGTTTCTGAAACCGAATAGGTTCCATCCCCAAGTGCAAAGAATAACATACAGTTATGGCCCTTTACCAGTTATAAGTACTTATAACCCCATTTATAAAATGTATAATCCCATTTATAACCAGTTATAACTAATAAATGACCATAACTCTACTGTTTTGGATGTGTGCGGCATTATTGGCCGTCCTGTTCTTGATGTGTTTTCCATTTTTTTCCTTCAGCGCGCTCTTTTCATGCAATTCAGTTGCTTAGAGGTATATTCTAAGTGCTAAGAGAACCTGAAGTCAACTACAGTTATGGTCATTTATTTGTTATAACTGGTTATAAATGGGATTATACATTTTATAAATGGGGTTCTAAGTACTTATAACTGGTAAAGGGCCTTAACTGTATGTTTGATATTTGATGCTTGATAGTCGTGAGACTTTGCCGTATGCTTCACACAATGGGCCTCACTCAAGCCCATTTTATCGGGCTCAGTGCAACAAGACCGTTTTTTTTACCGCAGTCTTGTGCGATGTCAAGCGATCATTGTGCTTCATTTTTGGGGGGTCTACAAGCAGCACGTTTGCGAGAATACCATCCATATATATATATATTATCATATAATTGCAATGTTTTGACCCTACATATCTTCATGTTTGGAGGTCTACAAGCACCACTTCTGCGAGAATACCATATGGGGGTTTTCATAAATGGTAGCAAGTTACCAGAGGGAGTAACGATATCAGATTCATGCATCGCTCGGTATTGAATCTATTGCCCATAGGATCAATATATGCTAACATTGGGGGTATATTGATGGTAAATGTTACCATATATATATATATAGCATACATGGATCCTATGGGTTGGATAGTACTGCTATTGGTTTTGCTCCGACAAATATCATGCGTTCGGATCACAAATTGTCCAACGACTTCTCTGCGACCCCACCCGGAATGGATGGTTTATGACAAAAGGGGTGACTGTACCAATAGCTGGCCGAAGAATTCAGATTGGTGGATTATTCTCTGTGATGTCATGAGTTATTTAGATTGGTTAAGTTTTTGATAGGTTGGTTATTTATTGATCTTTAGGAATCTTGGAGATATTAACTGAAGGATGATTATCATGATAATCTGGTTGGTGGTTTCAAAGAGTTTTTATTTTCCATAATATATGGGATAGTCCTTCCCATTGACGAACTCATATTTTTCAAGATTGTTTTTCAACCACCAAGCAGTAATGATTACAATGACGATTACCCTCTGGTCATTTAACATAGCTATTGAAAATGACCAATAGAAATAGTGGATTTACCCATTAAAAATGGGTGGATCTTTCCATAGCTATGTAAACGTTTACCAGAGGGTACGATGACAACGATGACAAGGATGATGATTCATACAGTTATGGCCCTTTACCAGTTATAAGTACTTATAACCCCATTTATAAAATGTATAATCCCATTTATAACCAGTTATAACTAATAAATGACCATAACTGTAGCAACGTCCGGCCCAACTGGCTCCACCAGTCTCGGTCTGGGTTCCCGTCTTGAGGTTGGATGATCTGCTTTTGGGCCAGGAAGCGCGTGCAGCGAGCATGCAGCAAGGCTAGCCGGTTGCAGAGCTTGGTGTGTCTGAAAAAGTCAGGTTTTTTTGGCCCCACATTTCTCATGAATCCCATAGTTTTTCTGATCATGTTCCCTATGAAATCAGAATTTTGGCGGGTATGCACCATTTTCAGACAAACGGTGTATATCCTCCAATAATCAAACATGGCTAGCTGGAAAAAAACACGTAGATATGGAGGTGTTAATAGGGAAAACATCTACATATAAAGGGTGGTTTTTGCTCCATTCCCATATCTGATTACGGGAGGGTAACTGATGGTTGGTTAGGAGGGAGCTAACGAGCAGAAGTCTTATTCCATCTTATTCCCTACTCTATGGGGAGCCAGGAAGCTAAGAATTTCCCAAGGGTGGGGCCTGGAAACATGTGTGGGACAATTCTAGGTGTTGGATGGTAAGGAGATGTTAGAGGGGTTGTTTGACAAGCCTGATATTTTTGTGGGACCCAAAAACCCCATATGAAATTGTAGAACAACGCCGTTTGGGGCACAGCCTATTTGTGAACAAACCAGTAGAGGGAATGGTAATTTACCCAGTTTTTGGGGGTTGTTTGGCATCGAACTGTGTTGAATTTCAAACACGTCAAATCGTGAATTACATTTTTTGATTCTTGCAACGTACTCGTTTGGTGCAAGGTTGATGACTTGGTATAAGTTGGTATATGTGCATGGGTCTGGCTGAAACTTTTTGGACCCCAACATTGTATGGTCTTAAACCCCAAACTGCCCGCTTTGGACTATGGTGAAACCTTAAGAAATGATCCGTGGATTTTTATGGATTTTTCATATCTATGTGCCGTTGTGCCCCATAGTTTTTTGGAATGCTATAGACCTCAGAGCTAAGTTGATTTCTAACCAGATTGGCTGCCTGGCTGTTGCATGGTGATTATGGTGAGTCTGAGGCAACCTGGGATTTAAAAAATGGTAGATCCATAGGTTTTTTGAACGGTAGATCGTAGCAACAAGTCAGACAAACCATAGGAAGCCATAGTAAACCATACAAGGTGGTGCCCCCAAGATAGCTAAGTTGGTTTATAACTCCAATAACTATGGTTTATAGGTGATATATCTATAATTAATGGGTTTATAACCAATTTATAACTGGAGGGGGCACCACCTTGTAGTAAACCGTAGTAAACCATAAACCTAGTTAGTTCAACCTTAAAATTGCTGGAGGGTGATCTGAGCTCCTTAAAATTTGCAGGGGCCCGGCATCGACGTCAACTTCCCGTGCAGAAGTCACTCTCGAAGGAACTTTCGAAGGAGGCTGGGTGTTTCATGGGAGTTCTTGGGGTCCACAGAGGGTATGCCGTGGCTGCTATGGTTGGGGAAATGGTTTACAAACAGGGAAAGACGATCTTCATGAAATGCACCTCTCTCACAAGAAAATGCTGCTGTGGTGATACTAGTCAAGTGAACCTTGCACTGGTTGCAAATTCATTGAATTCATAATATGAATGTATGTGGTATTTCGCATGTCCGATATGTTGAACTCAGGATCCCTCAGCAAAATCATCAAACTATTCATAAATGGTTTAGTTGAGGTGTTGAACCCCTTTCGGTGAAGCTATCTATCCCAAAAACTATCCACGACCAGTGACCGCCGGACCACTACGGTGCCGCCTGCCATATTGCTCAGAGAGGGTTTTGCTCACCGCGACTGGTTTTCCCGAAGTTTCCCCCCCAGCACGGATCAGTGCTGTGGAACTTATTTGAGCCATGTTCCAGTGCCGCATGTGTTCGGAGAATCCTTTCAGTGTCATGGCATTTCGTGGGCTCTTTCCAAGAAAGGCATGACTGGGCGAATAGATTGGAAGAACTATAAGATTATAAGGTGGCAGGGATAGCTGAATCTTCATGATTCCTACAGAGTGGAGCTGAAATCAGTCTCCAAATCAGTGGGTCACCGGTCGATCTCATTTTAAAGATGGTAGGGATGGATCGACAGTGATCAGGTGCCCTGGAAATGCACTGAAGACGATATGGGTCAAAACCTTGCTTTGGTGAACACCAAAATAGCATAAAACAGCTGGATAGTCAGCCCCCAAAACATGGTTTTGGTAGGTTCTGATCCGTCCCCATCTGACAGAAACATACCCCACCGGCGATGTAAATGGTGAGACTTGTAAGGGGAATTCGCCTACAACGACCTCCCTTTCAGATCTTTCAGGTTGCGGATCAAAATTCATCCAGACATCTTGGGCCAATAGGCATAGAATTGGATGATGGGAAAATTTTCAGGAAAACCCTATATTTGATGGTAAAAACCATGGTTTCCTGTAGATTTTCCCTTAAACCAATCCAATGAAATAGGCATGGGAATTGTTAGAAATAACTGTGGTATCGGGTCGCATTGTGACAACCTCCCGCTTGTTGGATAGTGAATCCCTCTGGAAAACATGACTGGCCGGGAAATCCCGAAGTAAACGGGCATTTACATGGGACAATCATGAATATTGATGTTTTTTGTTTGCAAAATTGTCCCGTGGCATCTTTAATTACGGGTATTTTATGCAATTTTCTTCAACAGACACCACGATACACCACGTTTTTTTATTTTTCACATGCTTCATGACCTCTACTAGACCTCCCAAACGGTGGATTTTTTGCTTTGTCGAGGCATCCCAAAGCTGTGTCAAGGAAAATATGCATGAGAGGCAACACTTAGTGTGTTTGAAGCACTATAATTAGTTCGATTTAAGGTCTATGTTTTTTTGCACACTCGCATCTGGAAGAGATTCTGGATGCTGTTGTCAACTTGTGTAAAGACCTCGATGTTGAGGTTTCAATGGGACTAAACTGACTAAGTCTCTTGGATGATCCGAATGTTGGTGGTCTTTGGATCATGGCTTCTTTTGGCACCACTCAGCCGCTCGAATTTCGGCCAACTTGTTAGCGATTCCATTTGCCAAACCTCCAACTTTTACCTCCAACTTTTTGCCATGAAAACCAACTTGGATGGGACTGGCAGATCTTCCAATGCTTTTCTGCTTGGTGGTGACTGGAACATGAATGGATTATTTTCCATTTCATATTTAAGGGCTGCCGCCCCTGCCGCCGACCCCGGTAAAGAATCGGGGATTGTTGGTGAAACAGGCAAGCTGTGTGACGAGAAATTTTGGCAAATGCATCATCACATGCAGGATCATTTTTCCCAACCTTTTCCGCTTGTTCAACATTCAATAGAAGCCCATCAGCCCACCTGCTGCTGCTGCTGCTGTTGTTGTTGCTAACAGAAGAGTAGCAAGAGCACCTCCTGACACCAAAACAGCAAGGCACGGAAGGACGAACAGGCCCTAGAATCGCACCGAAAAAGTGCCTAACGTCCCTTGTGAATGACTTGGAAAAATGTTTTTTTCCCAACCTTTTCCGCTTTTTCAATCTCCCATCAGCTAGCTCACCTGCTGCTGCTGCTGTTGCTGCTGCTAACAGAAGAGTCGCAAGCGCACCTCCCGGCACCAAAACAGCAAGGCACGGAAGGACGAACAGGCCCTAGAATCGCACCGAAAAACTGCCTAACGTCCCTTCTAACTTCCTAGAAAAAATGTCTCTGTTTCTTTTTCCCAACCTTTTCCGCTTTTTCAATCTCCACCTGCTGCTGCTGCTGCTGCTGCTGCTGCTGTTGCCGCTAGCAAAAGCGCCAAAAACTGCCTAACGTCCCTTCTGAATTCCTAGAAAAAATGTCTTTTTTCCAACCTTTTCCGCTTTTTCAATCTCCATCAGCTAGCTCACCTGCTGCTACTGCTGCTGCTGTTGCTGCTGCTAACAGAAGAGTCGCAAGAGCAGCTCCCGGCACCAAAACAGCAAGGCACGGAAGGACGAACAGGCCCTAGAATCGCACCGAAAAACTGCCTAACGTCCCTTCTGAATTCCTAGAAAAAAATGTCTTTTTTCCAACCTTTTCCGCTTTTTGAATCTCCCATCAGCTAGCTCACCTGCTGCTGCTGCTGCTGTTGCTGCTGCTAACAGAAGAGTCGCAAGAGCAGCTCCCGGCACCAAAACAGCAAGGCACGGAAGGACGAACAGACCCTAGAATCGCACCGAAAAAGTGCCTAACGTCCCTTGTGAATGCCTTGGAACAATGTTTTTTCCCAACCTTTTCCGCTTTTTGAATCTCCCATCAGCTAGCTCACCTGCTGCTGCTGCTGCTGTTGCTGCTGCTAACAGAAGAGTCGCAAGAGCAGCTCCCGGCACCAAAACAGCAAGGCACGGAAGGACGAACAGGCCCTAGAATCGCACCGAAAAACTGCCTAACGTCCCTTCTGAATTCCTATAGAGAAAAAATGTCTTTTTCCAAACCTTTTCCGCTTTTTCAATCTCCCATCAGCTCACCTGCTGCTGCTGCTGTTGCTGCTGTTAACAGAAGAGTAGCAAGAGCACCTCCCGGCACCAAAACAGCAAGGCACGGAAGGACGAACAGGCCCTAGAATCGCACCGAAAAACTGCCTAACGTCCCTTGTGAATTCTTAGAAAAACTGTCTTTTTTCCAACCTTTTCCGCTTTTTGAATCTCCCATCAGCTAGCTCAGCTGCTGCTGCTGCTGTTGCTGCTGCTAACAGAAGAGTCGCAAGAGCAGCTCCCGGCACCAAAACAGCAAGGCACGGAAGGACGAACAGGCCCTAGAATCGCACCGAAAAACTGCCTAACGTCCCTTGTGAATTCCTAGAAAAAATGTCTTTTTTCCAACCTTTTCCGCTTTTTGAATCTCCCATCAGCTAGCTCACCTGCTGCTGCTGCTGCTGTTGCTGCTGCTAACAGAAGAGTCGCAAGAGCAGCTCCCGGCACCAAAACAGCAAGGCACGGAAGGACGAACAGGCCCTAGAATCGCACGGAAAAACTGCCTAACGTCCCTTCTGAATTCCTAGAAAAAATGTCTTTTTTTCAACCTTTTCCGCTTTTTGAATCTCCCATCAGCTAGCTCACCTGCTGCTGCTGCTGCTGTTGCTGCTGCTAACAGAAGAGTCGCAAGAGCAGCTCCCGGCACCAAA